AAGACCATCCTGAATGTACAACCACCATAGTTCTTGCTTTGTGCCCCTAACCTACTTTATAGAAACTTTTATCAGGACCCCCATAACTCTTCATTCAATGTTCACTTGCTTACAATCTGTCTCTCTTTATAAGTCTCTAAGCTCCTTGAAGTCTCCATAGATGCATACAAATCATATATTACCCAGAGTGCCTGATAGAACATCTTTGGATATAGACATATTGCTCCAGGAAATTATGTTTGTTAATATTGTCCTGTAAGGCAAGTATCATACCACCAATCCACAAGCATGAATTTGAAGTTTGTTTTTGAGCAATGCAGAATTTTCCCATTCTTTAACCATCTTTGTTTAGCTCCCTCCGTGATCAAAAGCATCCATTAGTACTGTGATTAGTAGGGATTGTGAATGTGGTTAAGCAGTGAAGTGCATCCAAATGGTCTAGGTGACCCACAATCCCATAATATAACCCTATGTTCTCACCAGGGGAGCAGGGTGATGCAGTGCAGTCAACACGCTAACAGATGTCACTCATGCACCCACGCCCGCACACACACACGTGCTTTCTAGGCTCTGGGTTCAGATTTGTCTATAAGCTGAAATTAAAGTGCAAAGCATTCAAGGCATAATATGTATCAAAGTGGGATTCCTAAATTTAGTTAAAACTGTCTCAACTAGCAAAGGGATATTTGTCTGGCAAACTCCAAACTAAAAATTTTTCAACAGTCTAACTCTGTGGGGGTCTACATAAAAAGAGGATCAAGAATAATGTTACTTTTTGGAACTCCATTCAAGTAGTCAGAAATCATGGAAATTTGCCCAAAATTATCTTTTGTATTGCCCCAGTCTCAGTTCAGTTCAAGCTTGACTATAATCTTTTTTAAGCCTGTTATTTTCTTTGAAATTACTGGAATAATAATGTCATCTTTAGGAGCAAAGGCAATGCTGTTTCTTTGATTCCTGCAGAGTTAGTAGTGTACTTATACATTACGTTACATTCAATATATATTTGTTGGCTAAATACATGAACTATCTCATTACCACTTTCTGTTCCATAAATATAGATGAGTAGTGTCATAGATATTTATGTCTCCAAGTGCAATGTAGACAGACACTCCAACAAAAACTCTTAACTGGAAGAAAATACAAAAAAAGGACAAAATAAGCTAAGTTAGAACACATTTTCTTCTTTACTATTACAAATGTCTTTTTAAATATCAGAATTCCTTGAGTAGTATTGTTTATTCAGTACAGATTATATCCCTTAAGGATTTATCAAATTATTTATGTTTTCCTTGTATTCATGATATTTTACCCCAAAATGGGGTATTGTCAGAATATTCTCTTTCTTCTGTTCCTTTTCTTTCTTATTAAAAATTATCTCAGACTCAAATTAATAACTTGATTGCAAAAATTTGTTTCTAACTATTTTAAATTAATTATATGGAGACTTGCAATATAAATTGAGGAAATAAAATTAGCTGTTACTATATAATAAAGGTAATTTTTGCCAGTCTACAAATGGAATATATCTGACCGTTAGAAACTGACACCTGTGAAAGAATTCCCTGATCCAATATAAATATGTCAATGAATTATATAGTTTAAAGGGTCAGTTGTGAAAACAGGAATTTCCCTAGGCATTTCAAAGAAGGAGGAATTTAATACAGGGAACTAATGCTTACAGAACTGAGAGAAGGGCTGAGGGAAAAGGCAGAGGGAAAGACTGCTGGGTTTTAGGAAATTAGGAAGCTGTAGACATTTAAGAAAATTGCCACTAATGAACTCAGTTGACCGTGGCACTGAGGCAGAGATTTGCCATCTATCCACCATTGCCAGATAATAAAATTGGCCTCTCTTCCAACTTCCAAACATCATGCAAATGTCTCACTGGCAGAATCTAACTTAGAATGCTATTTTCTAGGGCTCACTATTGCTAATAGCCAAAGAGCCAGAAACAAATGCATAACCTTTCCTCTGAGCAAGTCTAGCAAGCGTTGCTTAATAAAATATTATCCATTGGGTTTTTCTTGTTTTTTTGCTGAGGAAGATTCACCCTGAGCCGACACCTGTTGCCATTCTTTCTCTTTTTGTATGTGAGCCACTGTCACAGCACGGCCACTGACAGAAGAGTGGTGTAGGTCCGCTCTGGGGAACCTAACCCAGGTCACCGAAGTGGAGCGTGCCAAACTTAATCACTAGGCCACTGGGGCTGGCCCTTATCTATTGTTTTTTAGTGTAAAGACATGGTGGTTATTCTTTTTATGGCTGCGAATTCTTTGACACTTCTCTCATGGAGAGGTGGGGTCTATGTCTTCTCCCTCCTCTAGAGTCACCCTGCCCAGACATGAGACATGTGAGTAATGACGCCTCAGGATGTTCATCCCCACTCTCCCACTCATCCTCATGATGTGAAGCCTTAGATATTGCAGAGCAGAGATAAGCCATCTTTGTAGCATCCTGTCTGAATTCCTGCAGAATTTGTAAGCATTACAAAATAGTTGTTTTACAATATTAAGTTTGGAGTGGATTATCATGCAGCAAAAGTTACTTGAACAACTCCTAAAAACATGAGAGATAAGAAATAACGAAGTCGATGGAGACTTAGAGACTGTGGAATTCATCTTGAGTACGCAAATTTGAAAGTTGCCGCAACAGCCTAACAGGTGAGTTTATGTACAGAGCTATGCAATTAGGTTTACAGTCATCTCTTATAAATCTGCAGTATTTGTTTTCCTCCATTTTATCTCTTCTCTAGTTACATAATCTTAAATCTGGGGCCCGAAACCTCAGAGGGAACAGATCTGGCAGGTCTGGGTCTTCTTTATCCATTCCCATATCATCACCCAAATTACACAAATGTAGTGCAATTTGGGTCTTTCAACAAGTTACAATTTTCAAAGACACTGCACAATTTTACCACGTTAATTAACTCTCATTCACACATTCCCAAAGGGAAAGAAGGAACAAAAATTCCAATTACCAAATCCATTTGCTAAGAAAACTGAGTTCCCCGTAAGTAGAGCCTATCATATTTTTCTAAACCTTTCCCTTGAGTTTGGCAATTCACATTTATAGAACACTCTTACGGCTAAGTTTGTCTTCTGTTGTTTCCTCTCAGTTTTTATCCAGATGTTCTCTTTGATTTTTATCTCTTTGTTCCTTTTGTTCTGCTATCAAGAGTGACAGTTTTTACAAGCTTTGATGTGGCTTTGTATGTTATCGAGCACCTCAGGAATTAGATCTATTCATTATTCTGTTTTGCACTCGTTACCACCCCTTTCCCTACATGTTTGAATGTCCAGTTTGTATAAAACTGTAGCTCGGTCCTATGGCAAGGGAAAAAGTACTGGAAGACGCAGCTCCTTGCTGCAAGATACTTACTTTCTGATGGAGATAGAAATATAATACTTAAAATAGCATGAATATTTTTTAATGACAAACAGTAGGGGAAAACAAATTTGCTGTAATTTTGAAATAATAAGAGTAGTTTTCTAACTTGGCCAGGCTCAGCTGCAGGACACAGTGGGACGTCTGTGACTTCAATGGTTGGCCCAAGAAGGACTGGGTTTCAGTTCCCCATTTCTTTCTCCCCAGTTTATTGAGTAACTAATGCATGCCAAGCAGTGTGCTAGTCGGTTTACATTTTTATTTAACGGACCCAGTGCTTGGGTTTCCATTTACAGTGTTGGGCAATGATCCAATAGATCCAATCCAGACAACAAATTTGAAGGTTTGTTCAAGGCAAGGGAGGAGGGGTAGCCCAAAGGCAACCAACTGTAGACTGGCAGTGCCATAGTTATGGGTGATCAGTTCATTAAAAGTAGAATCCTAGTCAAGTGTTTCATATACTGGCCATTTACTATGTAATAGAAACTGCTAAACCTGGAGATAAAGGATAGTTAAGCCATAGTCTTTGCCTGCAAAGAGCAGAGATGTTACAAGAGAAGTATACATAAGGTCAAGTAGAGGCACAAAGAATAGAAAAGTCTAACCCCAGAAGGAAGGTAAATAAGTAAGGCAGGGATAACAGAGTGTCCAATGACCCAACCAACTGGGTTATTGATTAGGATAGAGTTCCATTGCCCAAAAGTAAACGAGCCAATCTAAAACTAAAACAGGTACTGATACAAACAACAACATGGATGAATATCGAAAACATATACTTAACAAAATAAGAAAGACATAAATGAGTACATATTGTATGATTCCATTACAAGAAGTTCAAGAACAGACAAAACGAATCTACAGTGAAAGAAATCACAACAGTAGTTGCTTCTGCAGAGTACTGACTGGAAGGAAGCGCAAAGGAATTTTCGAGGGTGATGAAATATTCTATATCTTACTGAAATGTTGGTTACAAGACAGGATACGTTTGTCAAAACTCATTAAACTGTGAACTCAAGATCTTCTCAGTCTTCTAGTCTACTTTATGCTTGGCCTCTCAGCCCTGGGCACTTACATATCAGCAGATTCCTCGAGGGTAAGGACAGCGGCGGATATTTGGTTCATCTCAATGCTTTTCCCTGCTCTCCAGTAACTGGGCCCCTTGAGTCCTGAGGACGTGGTAGCCCAGTAACACCTGCAGATGACTCATTTTGTATTATTATTGTTATTCTACTATTTCTCTTTTGTCTTATCAAGATATGAGCTAGTCCATTTCATGCAGAAGTGGAGGTCTAAAATAGATTTTTTAATAAACAGCATTTTGCTAACTTAGGAGCCATATGGAAAAAGATAGAACAATATGTTCTTCATACTATACACCTGTATGAATATCAAATAGATCAAAATTAGAAACCACATACCTAGTAGGTAAAAACATGGACAAGTTCCTTTATAAGCCAGAGGTAGATAACATTTCCCTCTGATTAAAAATTTAGAAGCAATACAGGAACAACTTGATGAATTTGGCTACATAAAAATTAAAAACAAAAAATTTTGCATTATAAAATACTTTATAGAGAGTAAAAACGTAAGTGAGCTTTCTTTCTGAGCTGATAGCACTTCCATAAACATGGTCAATGTTCCTAAAACCTACAGGGCTTTCTGTAAGAAGTGTGGCAAGCACCAACCCCACAAAGTGACACAGTACAAGAAAGGCAAGGATTCTCTGCACGCCCAGGAAAAGAGGTGTTATGACAGGGAGCAGAGTGGTTATGGTGGGCAGACCAAGTCAATTTTCTGGAAAATGGCTAAAACTACAAAGAAGATTGTTCTGAGGCTTGGATGTGTTGAGCCCAACTGCATATCCATGAGAATGCTGGCTATCGAGAGATGCAAACATTTTGAACTGGGATGAGATAAGAAGAAAAAGGGCCAAGTGATCCAGTTCTAAGCTTTATATTTTGTTTTATTATGAAGACAATCAAATCTTGAGGTTATATTCACTTCAAAAAATAATAAATGAGGGGCCAGCCTTGTGGCGTAATGGTTAAGTTCGCACATTCCACTTCGGCGGCCTGGAGTTTGCAGGTTTGGATCCCGGGCACAAACCTACACACCACTCGTCAAGCCATGCTGTGGTGGTGTCCCACATATAAAATAGAGGAAGATTGCCACAAATGTCAGCTCAGGGACAATCTTTCTCACCAAAAATAAGTAAATAAATGATAAACTGAGAAAAATATTTCCAACCTTCGGAGTTTTTATATCTCTAATATTTAAAGCACACCTCATAATTGAGAAGAAAATGATCAAGTACCTAATATAAAAATTTGCATGTGATATAAAGAGAGGGCACAGAAGAAGAAATTAGGATGCATCTGTATGTGTGTGTTTGTGTGTGTGTGTATGTAAACAATGGTCATTTCTCATTCATAATTAGGGAAATGGAGATAAACTATATTCTGTAGACTTAATTTTAGTACTAACATTAGTATTTCTATTTTTAAACTATTATAGATATGCTGTAGGATAAAGTAAGTAATTGTGTTAAGGATTTTTGGTTTGAGAGAAAAAAGTCCGAGAGGTAAACAACTCTACACCTTAAAATTGAATTAGAAATATTAATGTAAATTTATTTCAACTCTCGTTCTGAAAATGCATATTGACTAGTTCTGTCCACTAAAAAGACCTGGAAGCAGTGGCAAGTCAGGGACAATGAGCATCTAGAACCCAGATTTTGATCTCTAATTCCCATTTCCCACAAAAGGAAGAAGAAAGTTCTTTGGGAAAAGGTTGAAACCAAATCCACCATAGATCATACTCTTTTGAATTAGTGGATGAGTGGCAATTTTTCTATACAGAATAATTACAGCTAACAAATGCATGAGGAATATTAGAACTAGAAACTCACCATTTTGCAAGGTCTAATGAAAAAATGTTTTTGAACAATTGTCATGAATGAACACTAAAACTATTAGGAGAAAATTTGAGGTCATCAATAATCACTCAGCATTACCAAACATTAGAAAACTGGATATTATATGCCTCCGGATGTGAATTTGAAATACACAGTATCACCTATGAGGCTTAGAAAAAAATTAGTGTGATCTAATCATGCCTTTATATCTATATAAGTTTATTCTTCAATAATGTAGAACATGCAGGAGCAAGTAAAATTATGCCACAGGAAGCAAATCGAGAATATAGGTGATTCTACAAGACAACTGGGCTAACTTCTTCAACAAGTCAATGGCGTGTGAGAAAAAAAAGAAAGACTATTCTAAACTAATATTTAAGAAGATGCTTAAGAAATATAGCAACCATATGTAATGAGTAGATCTTATTTGAGAAAATCAACTCTAAAAACATATTTTTGTTACCACTGAAGAAATTTTAACTTGGACTGGGTATTCTAAGTTACTAGGGAATTATAGTTAATTTTGTTAGGTATAATAATAGTATTGTGGTTATGTGACAAAATATCTGATTTAAAAATAAATATATAAAGAAATGGATTATGACATCATGTATTTATTATCAGTATTAAATACTGTCTTTGTCTCATTACATCATTTTGAATAAATTTAAATTTTAAAATGGTTTAAATTATGCGTTAAAGACTAATATAAGTACAATTCTTTTATGACTTATTTATTTATACTGACTCAATTTCTAGCTAATCTTGATGTGGGGTAGTTCATAGTTCCGAAGAATTAGTTTACAGGAGGCAGGAAACAGGTTTACAACTAAATCTTGTTAGAGTGTGAGGTATTATCGTTTTTTATATCATATTCCCAATAAATAATTCATCTCTAGTAACTCTGACTTTTCTCCATGAATCACTATATAATGGAAAAACCTGTCTCCATCTAAGAAAAGGGGTAGTAGAATATGTTATCTTTAAACCAAGAAAAAATTGACAGTTTTCAATGGATGGAATCAGAACTCTGGGATAAATGGAAAAGTCCCCAAGGATGGTCAAATGTGATTCTCTGCAGATGGCTGCACAGGATGATATTTCATAAAACATCATTTCTCTGTTAAGCTGCACAGCATCTCTGGTACTTCAAACATATTGTTTATCTCATCAAGAGGAGCAGGTTCTAAAGGTAAGAACTGAACAAGTGCCATCACTAAGGAAAAGGAGCAGATGGCCCACCTATATGGTCTGCCTTCACTTGATGAGAAGCTGCTCCAATCCCAAGCAGACTAGTTGCCAATTAAAAGAAGGCTTGGCTGAGGGATCTGTTCTTTCCTGTGACACAGAATCAGCTTATCCATTTTCTCAGCCCCTGTCCCCTATCCAGTTCCATCACTACCCTCTCCAAAAATGAAGAAGCCCCTTATGACCAGTTCTGTGACATATTCCACTGATACTCACTAGCGAATGTCTGGATTTGGGCAATACTTCTCACCTCAGCTCCAGGTTACATCTTGTTTTCAGATCCTTTCTAGCTCTATCACTAACAAAGAAATGTGTCCATGCTTTGTAAAAGAACTTCAAAGACATGGATTAAACATATGAGAATTGTTCGGGCTTCTTCTGCCACAAAATATGGGCTTTATCAACCACTCTTTCTAAACACATTTTAGGATTGCAAAATTTTAGGTAAATAGAATCCATTTAAGTTTTCACAAAAATAGATGTAAAAGATATTATGATTAGCAGGCATATTTTAACTTTCAAAGTTCAGGATCCTAAGCTCCAGTGTTTAAGAAAAGCAGTATGAGTCTGAAGAAGATCATCGAGATCAAATGTCTAATACCAAGAACCAGGAGTCTACATTGAGGGAGGAGAGGGAGTTTCCTGTTTACAAGAGGATGCTTTGACCAGGTCTGTCAGCTCATGATAGTTAATAGCCTGAGCAACTTGGAGCAAGGTATGAGATACATGGCAAAGTAATGGGCCCAAAACTTGCCACATCTGGAGAAAAACCTGAAGAAAACAGTAAACCAGAAGAAAGCAGTGGTTTGGACACAAAAGAGCAGGGAACGAGTGAGGTATGCATGCAGAATTAGATCAGCTCTGGAAAGAATCTCATCAAAAGGAGATTTTAGCTCTGTGTTCCTTTCAAACTTTGGCGTGCTTTTTCTCAAATTTGGGGCACTTTCCGACCACACCCCACATATGTTAGATAACAAACCCTCTGGAAGTAGACTCCATATCTGTAGCATTCACCACTCCATCTCTAATGCCTACCACAGTGCTTGATAACCGGTGGGTGCTCAACAAATTTCCTTGAATAAAGGAATGCCTAGCACATTGTTGGAACTGAATAATTATTCTTTCAAATAATAAATGAAGGTTAACTAATAAATACCCTGGGCATGACTAGGCTGGAACATTGTTTTGTTTTTGTTTTTCTTTCTGTGTAGAATCCAGAAAAAACAGGAGGACTTCTCTCTAGAATTCAGAACACTGAGCCTGGGATTAACTCTTACTGTAACCCAGGCATTGAAACCATTTCAACTTATACTTGAGTGCTTGACTTGTTAGAAATATCAGGGGAATGAAAGTTTCTTCTTATAAAGAAACCTAAAATACTCTGATCCAGCGTATAAAAATTTTTTGACTTAGTATTAAGAATTAGGCCTTTAACTTCTTTTCCCTGTATTTCATAACAGCTTTCAAAATGATCTCCCTGCCTCCAGGCTCGCTTCCCTGCACTTCATCTTCCACACGCCTCCAGCGTAACCTTGCAAAACTCAGATTTGATCAGGTCACTAACTCTTGTGTTCCAAAATCCCTTCGTGGTTCATAATTCATGCTGTAGCATAACAGCAAATGCCCTTCATCTTCTTTTATTTTCAGCCCCATCCAGGTCAGGCCTCTTTACCCACAGATCCCATCCATGTGGCACGTTCCTGCCATACTGCACGTTTCACCAATCCTGAACCATTCCCTACTTTTTCTCTTGCTCTTTCTTCTGTCTTATATGCTCCTTTCTCCATTTTCATCCTGGCACGATCCAACTCCTCTGTCAAAATCTAGTTTAAATGCCACCTTCTCTGTGAAGCTTTTCTTGACTCATCCAGATAGAATTAATCACACTTTCTGTGTTCCTATACCTTAATGCAGAGTGAACAGATGGAAGTGAAAGCTTTGGAGCCAGAAAGACCTCATTTCCAATCCTGGTTCCTCTGTTCACTATGACCTTGGATAAAACACTTAAGGTCTCTAAGCCTCACATTTCTCATCTACAAAGTAGGCATAATGATATCAATATATTAGAGTTGCTGTGAATATTGACTGTGATCACATATACAAAATGCTTAGCATAAGTCTTGGCTACATAGTAAAAACTCTAAGGAATGCTTTACATTTCTTTTGTCATCTTGTTATTATTTCCTCCTTTATTATAATCAGATTGATATTACAGATAACGGCATGTCTGCCTAACTCGCTAGATTTTGAGTTGTTAAAGGCAGGTCTATGATATTCAAATTTTTATCCATGGTACCTAGCACAGTACCTGACTCATTGACGGTGCCAGCTTGTTGCTTGTTGAGTCAAGTCCACTTGCATTTGATGCAATCATTTCCTGGGATTTGCTGATAAGATGTACCACTATATTAAAACTGTTGATACGTGTGTATGAAATCATGTGTGTTACTTTAACAATATAAATATAAATGGTGCTATAAATTTTTCTAGTAGCTTTGCAAATAATAATCCCTGAAAAAGCAGCAGGACACGGATTATCCCTTTTTGCTTCCTTTTCACTCAAAAGTATTAAATTAACATGATGTTGTAAGGCTTTTAGAAAATAACAAAAATTCACCTCTAACCTATATTTCTAACAACATAGCTGCTGGAGATAGCTTGGGCTGAAATTGCATTAAAACTCCTGAATGATCCAGTTCACTCAGTTCAATTGCTATTTAAGTATGTGCTGTGCCCAGTTCATTGGGAAAGCAGTGTGGAACAAGACAACACAAAAAGCTTTCTTTCCAGTTCAATTAAAGTAAACAATGACATGTGCCCTGTTAAAATAGCCACT